GCATCGAACTCCGAAGGCAAGCTTGATACAACCGAACGCTGTGATGCAAACCCAGTTTGGCTGCGTGAAGCACCTTGATCAGGCGATGCTTGATTTGCGCACTCATGCGCAGCCGCAGAGCACAGGTCTGCATTTCAAAACCGGACCCTGGGGGGTTCTAAATAAGTGCTTGCGCAGCCAGGCCTTGGCTTGGGGTCCCTGCAGTTTGATGACTATTTTGGACTTGGAGGAGTTCACACTCATCCCAACTTCGCGTAAAGCCCGGAAGGTATGCTGCACGCATCTGCACATAAAGTGCAGGTCCTGCACACTGCGCACCTGCCATTGCAATACAGTGTCATCTGCATACATTGTTATGAAGTCTCGAGCCCAGTTAGCATCTGTGCGATCTTTGATGACATCATAGATCCATCCTGTGAAAATGGCGTAAAGCAGTGGTGATAATGAACACCCTTGCCTGACACCGCACTGCATATCGAACTTATCCGTAAAGCCATTCTGGGAAATCTCGTATTGGCAGTGCTCGTGCAGGTCCAGCACCAAATCATGCAGTGCCGGCTCAACTCCTGCGGCCTGTAGCGCTTGGGAAAGCGCTTGTCGGGGGACTGTGTCGAACGCTCTTGACAGGTCAATGCTCAGTAGCGCACCGCCACTGCAGGGAACCGAACGAGCCCCAGCGCGCTTAGCATGCACACTATCAACCCCCGCCTTCAGGCTTTCCCGCGCACTCTGGCATCTGTGAAAAACACGACTGATTGCTTCATCCCCGGAGCGGCCAGCTATGTAGGCAAATTGGGGCTTATCTGCCAACCAACCTCGAACCTGCTCCTGCAACCGGTTACGAACTAAACCCGCAAGAACTTTTGAGCTAGGATCTTGTAATCCTAGTGGGCGGAGGTCCTGTGGTCTACGAAGTGGTTTTTGGGGCTTGGGCAGTAAACTGAGGGTACAATCCGTCATAGGCTGAGGCAGTTTGGGACCCGTCTGCCGACTATGCTGAAAGGTCACTTGAAAGTACTCAGCCAGTTCCTGTGGGCAGTGCTTCCAGACTTCCGCCGTGGGACTGGCAGTGGGTACGGCCTTCATGTTTTTCAACTGATGAATGGCAACCACAATCTCAGGCTGAGTAAACTGCGGATCGGCACAGGAAGACGTGTACTCAAGCGGCCGCATGCTGCTAAAGGCTGCACGAAAATATTCCAGAAGCGCCTGGAATTGCTGGGCCTTATTAAGGAGTCTACCATCTGTACCGCGTACACGAACAGACTCGTACCTGCGTTTGGGAGCAATCCGTTGTATGACCCTATAGACAGTACGCATGTCATGCTTGGCAGCTGCAACCTCCGCTTGTGCAACCTGGTCCTCCAGCCAGCATTTGCGAGCATTTCGGCTGATGGCACGCAGAGCCCTCCACGCCCTCATAAAGTCTCGATAGCGGAGCCACGCTGAGAATATTTGTCTAGACGCGCTACCTGCCTGTCTAGTTTTGAGGGCTCTGTGTCGTCGCCACATTTCCCGAATCCCCTCAGTCACAGCCGGATCTTCACCTGGCCGCATGGTGGAGGTTTTCTTAGCCGGGTAGTGTTGTTGGCAGAGCCTGAGGAGGGTCTTGTTGAGGTCTTGCAGCGTAGAGCGGTCCGCAGTGGCCTGCACCACGGCCGCACGGGCTTGCGATCGGAATGCTTCGGTGCGAGCTGTAGGGTACTGTAACTCTCTAACAAGTTCCTCTTTAGAGTACTGGGGCTTGTGGGGGACTAAACCCTTGGGCAACTTCCAACCCGGCACTATGGGAATAGTGGCAGCGACCGCCCTGTGCTTGGGACCTTCACGGCCCGGCGCAAGGTCCAGCGAGGTCGGCTTGGCCCGTCTCGCCAGAGCATCTGCGTTTCGACGCCGCACTGCAACAAAATCAATTTGCGAGACTACCGTGCCATTCCGAAACGTGGCACAAACAGCAGGCTTGGCTTTACTCCAAGTGTTCAACAAGCAAAGCTTATGTTCTTCCAACACAGTAAGAAACTCGGGTTCAGGCTTTCGGGTGGGGTGGGGGAGTAAACCTCTGCCAATCAATCCAGGCAACGAAGCTACCGTGGAATTGAAGTCGCCTCCCAACACCAACATGTTGCGCCGTGGCAAGCCCCCCAGGAGACCACCAAGAACTGACCAGAACTTGCCGCGAAGCTGTTCCGGATCCCTGGCTGCGTTGTCCTTGCGTACCCACTGATAGGCACAGATGATGTCGAGGTTGGCCTGCTTGGCTTCGCAACGAACTTGTAATATCCGACCTGGCAGCCATGTGCAGAAGGAGAGCGTGTGCGCGCTGGCTATACGTCGTGAAATGACCACCCCTACGCCGCTGTGTCGCGCGCCCGGATCCGGTGAGATAATAAAAAGCCATCCTGGGATGGCCCAGGAGGCCTCTTCGCGGCCAAGGCTCCAGTGGATCTCTTGGAGCAGCAGCACGTCTACCTCCTGATTATTTTGTAACCAGCGCCGAAGCGTGTCGTACACTGTCATGGTCATCCCTCCCACGTTGTACGTCAGTACGCGCAGTCGTTGTTTGGACTGCCGACACTGAGACGCCCTGGGGATTCGGCTGATAGCACCAGTGTGCTGAGACTGCTGGGGTCCTGAAATGGATCTGCCCTGAAGCTCCTCTAAGGAGCACCAGTGTCCTCTGTACATAGTTCCAGCGTCCCGACTTGTCGCCGCTCGCCTGCAGGCGCGCTTGTAGGCGCGCTTGCGCATCCAGGAAAAATGAACTGGTCTTCTGTCCTTTCCAGAAAGTTTCGCCCCTAAAGGAGCTCTCGGATCAGCTGTGGGCACTGATCCAACCCTCGGGTCAGCGGGCCTTCCTCCTGATGATTGTGCTTCCATGAGGATAGACCGCAGTGGGACTTGGGACCCACTCTGGCTGGTATGAGTCGTGATATGCCGTAGCTGTTGCAATTGTATCCAGATAAGAAAGACAGTGAGCGACGAAACTCCCATCACGCAAAGGGACCGTCTACCTGCAACGCTATTTCCTTCCAGCCGAGACCCTTAGTAGTAGTAGTAGTAGTAGTAGTAGTAGTATTTGTAACAGTGGTGGTGGTGGTGGTGGTGTTGGCGGTGGTGATAGTGGTAGAGTGTATACACAAATAGAAGTATACATACACACATGCACATACACATATACATATACGTATACGTACACATGTGCATGTACATTACATGCACATACGCATATGCATCAATATATGCATGTATATATATATATACACACATGTACACACACATGTATGCGTGTGTGTTTGTGTGTGTGTGTCTGCCTGCCTGCCTGCCTGCCTGCCTGCCTGGCTGGCTGGCTGTCTGTCTGTCTGTCTGTCTGTCTGTATGTATGTATGTATGTATGTATGTATGTACGTGTGTGTTTAGGATATACAGACGTATATAATATATGTATACATGTAAATACATTCCATATGTATGTATGTATGTATGTATGTATGTATGTATGTAAGCATGTATGTATGTGTATATACATATATATACATACATACATACATATGCATATGCATATACATCGTTGTGCCCCGGCCGGTCCTGACACACCCCTCACCGTCTCCACAGGCATGGTCCCTGACATGGTACCCTCTCCGCTATCGCTTGCTGCTCTTCGTGTTTCTCTCGCCTCACAGCTGCAGCCCTAGCCGAACTGGTGTAGTGTTTGCTGGACCTGTGGAGGCATACCAGAGCGCCTTCTCCCCGTCACCATTGGCCTGCCAGTTCGTCTGCGCACGTGATATTGCTACGGCAGAAAGTGCCGTTAATTCCGGCTGGGCCGTAGATCTGCTCAGCAGCCGACCTCCTTCTGCTACAATGCCAGCGCCTTCATAGGAAAAGAGCATGCTATAGGTGATGGAGCCTGCAGAACTCGTCTCACTTCTGCTCATCCTAGACACTGAGGTGCAGGCTCTGTGATGTGCGCCGCAAGCGAGAGGCAGACGGCCACGTCGTGCGAGAATCCCTTTGCTTTCTCAGAGGCTGCCATGGGCAGGCAGTGTCCGATCCATGTAACCCATGCAGGAGCAATGCCTGGAGAACCAGCAGCAAGAGTCGAAAGGCCTGGAGGGCTTTAAAAATGGTCTGGTTGGCTTGCGGCTTGATTTCACCACTTCACGATCTGCTTTGCAAGGCACGGAGGAGGCACGTGCTGCAAGGAAGCGCCGTTGCCTGGCTGCAAAGCGAGCTTCGTTAACTTGCTTGGCTGGAGCTCCCACAGTGCTTCTGGAAAATTGGTATTCCAGGCCACTGCCGATAGTGCCTTAGTTCATGCGAAACCGAAATCGCACATGCTGCCATGATGGATCGGACGAAGTTGGATGCTTTGCAAAGGGCCAAGTGCAGAAGGTTGGCGGTCGGTAGATGGGCTCGTAGCCGACCAAGCTGGAAATAGAACGCCCCGTGCATTCGGTGACCACTTCTGGAGCCTCTGTGACACCGTCGCCAGTGAGTCTGTGAAACCATGTAAGAGCATGAATGGTGTGATGGTTCCAAGCATTGCTCGGCAAGCCTCTGTGGAAGCCTGCTGCAACTGAAGCGCCGTGAAGTCTGGACCATCGTTTTTTTGCAGGCGAGGAGAAGCCCGGTTCTGGAGTTGTAGAATAACCCCACTCCCCAGTGTTTCGTCTTGGAATGTTCCTGCTTGGCTTTTCAATCATTGTCTTGGGAAAAACGATGACAAGGAAAAAGCGACAATGCCATAATTATGGTAAACCCAGCGCTGGGGAGCGAAAACGGGGCACCGCACTAAAGTTGTACTAACAGTTACTAACATCAAGATTGGTGGTTTTAACCGGTTAAACGGTGACAAGAAACAAGACAACCCAATTTCGGGATAGGGAAATTTATACAGGGTTATTTTACAACCCCCGGTGGCAGTTCGAGCAACACATTGAAGAAGTGAGCTTTCAGGCAAAATTGTTGGCATGGATTCAGATGCACGGTTTGCCTTCTAGGCCTTACGTGGCCTCCTTGTGTGTCCAAGGCAGCCTCTGCTTTGCAGGCCTCACGCCAGCTCGAAAAGCCCCCTCACAAAGAACCTCCAAGTGTGTGCCAGCACTATCCAGCAGAGTGAGCTGGGATGTTCAGCAGGCTTGGAGGAAGATGCCGAGGAAGCAGCCCGGTATGAAGAGACTCGCCTGCAGCGTTGCTGCTACTTGTGTCGCTGGTGGCATTGGAGTTTGGGCTGAGGAGCGGGGCCTGGTCTTGCGCTTTGCAGTCAGCCCAGTCGAACTCTCCACTCTTCCGGGAGAGGCATCTGCGATCTGCATCTGCTGAGGACGACGTTCCATCGTCGGTGTCGTGGAGAGACTTAAAGGACACAAGAGTCAAGAGCCCATGTGAATCTGCTGACTGTGGGGGAAACGCAGGAAGGGCTCTCGCCGTATGGCAGGGTGAGATTCGCAGATGCCCCAGAAGCACAAGGCGCCAAGGAGCCGAGCCGAGCCGCGAGAAATCTCAGGTGCGCTTCTGCAAAGAGGAGGAGAAGCGCTTCGCGCTGGTGGCTAGCTCGGTTCCATGACGATTAGGCCGATAGGCTCGGCCTAAGAAGCGGTGCCCAGCTGAGGTGCAGATGAAGGACGAGGAGGGCATCTTCGCCATCCTTGGCTGCGCCAAGGAGGAATTCTTCCTGTTCTCCCGGTCGCTCTTCCTTTGCAGTAGTTTTCGCTTTTGTGCGGTAGGTGTGCTAGTTGTCTACAGGACGAGGGCTTCCTTTGCGTGCAGTGCGGGGCCTGGACAATCTGAACTGCCTTTTGGGTTTGAACGCTAGAATGTTCTAGATGGGAATCCTTGAACTCCAGATGGGACGGCGTAAGACCACGCCTGGTTCAAGTTTATCCCAAATTCCCCGCAATCCTGGCATCTACAGGTAGCCATGCCCAAGTTTTGATGGCTTTCCTGGCATCCCGGTACAGTACATGATTTTGCCATGATTTTGCCGCATGCCGTCCAAAGGCCTCGCAGCGCTGTCTCCATTTGCGAGACAGCACGAAGTAAAGCGCTACAGCTCCCAAGCCATTATATGCTACGGTGCAAGCAGGATGCGAGTTGGACATCCATGCATCGGCATTCTACGCACCAAGACGAGCCTAGCGCTAGTCAGCCGATTCAAAAGAAACCCTCATGCTTTTCCGCAGTTCCGCCGACTGCGAAATGCTGCGATGGACCGCCGCTCCGCCTCGGAGGAGGCGAGTTGCCTCGAGCACAAGGAGGTCACATGCTATCATTGCTACTTGGAAGTACAAGTCCTGGTGTTATGAATTCTTGAATCCGCTACAACACCCTGTGCTGTGCTTCGGCAAAGAAGTCGAAGTATTGAGGTGAGCTTCTACTTGACGATCTCGGGTACCGTCAGCCTTTTCGTCTCTCCAAGCTGGAACTCTTCCAGTCGTGGAAGCAACACGGCCGGTTCTGCTTCACTGACGCGGGCAGGTTACAGGGGCGTCTCCAGAAAGGCTTTTGAAGGCATGTTTGTTGCGAAGAAGCCAGAGAAGACGTCAGAACCACAGGCCCCGAAGGCAGAGGCAGGCTCGCCATCTTCAGCCAAAACGGGTTTTCCATCTCAGCAAGCTCCGCCACACCACACATCGCAACAGCGACCAGCTGCCAGCCGCACCAGCCCACAGGACGAGGCAAACGGCATTTCCAGTTTTGCCGCGCTGATGCAGAAAAAGCCGCCAGGATTGCAGGCCCCGCCATCGGAACAAGGGCTTCCCGCTCGATCTGCTTCCCCCTCACAGACGCGACCTGCTCCCCCGGCCTCTGCACAGCAGAGAGCCCCTAACGGCTCCGGCTCCCCCTCCCAGACGAGGCCAACCTCATCTGGGTTTCCGTCAGCAATGCCGAGCTCGTCAGGGTTTCCTTCACCCCAGGGCACGTCGTCGGGTTTTCCCAGACAACCAGCTGCAGAGGCCCAGGTGCCGACTGGATTTGGGTCCCCACCCAAGCCAGCGGATACCCAGCCGCCTAGCTTCCAACCGCAACCCCAGCCCACTGCCACTCCGCCAGTCACAGAGCATGCGGCCAAGAGCTCAGCGCCCCCGCCACCTCCCAAACCTCCCAGCCCGAGCCCACCACCACCACAAGCCAAGCAGGCCAAAGCGCCGACATCGTCACCTGGTGTTTCGGACACATCTGGTGCATCGTCGCAGCAGACTGCAGGTGTTCCTGTCAACGGAGCAACAAAGCCAGACGACTCCAGCTTCTACGCAATTCTTGGAGTGGCCGAAGGCGCAGCTCTGTCAGAGATAAGGGCTGCATACCGCCCCTTGGCCGAACTGAAGCTACAGCATCTCTCTGTTTTTAATCTCTTTGTTCTTCAAAACTCGCACCTTTGCCACAAAGCGTGAGGTCAGCAAGCTCGCAAATCGCATCCAGACCTCTTCCGCACGGCGTCGCCCGAGGAGCAGGAGGCCGTCGCAGAGCGCTTCTCGCAGGCCGGGCCGGGCCGGGCCGGGCCGCGCCTCTTTGTGTTGCTCCTTCCACTGCCGGAGAGGTCAACAAGGCCTTTGACGTTCTGAGTGATCCCGCCAAAAAGCAAGCTTATGATTTGCGAGGCGCGGAGTTACGGTTACAGCATGGCAGCGCCTGGCAGAGCGCAGAGAGATTTCGGGGCATTTCTGACGGGAGGTTTGGCTGGCCTCGCGGAGTTTGAGTTCGACGGTGAGCGAATTATCATGCCGCCACCATGGCGAGTCCGTCCCTAGCTCAGTGGCACGGCAAGCTCCGCGAAAGACACGGGTGTGAAAGCGCTGCGTCCGAGGTATAGGCCACACCGGGCATCATTTCTGGAAGAGGAAGGACAGGTGCAGATGGATGCGCATTGAAGTTATTGGCTTTCTTCGCTCCACACATGAAGGAATACTTCGTTGGGTTGATGATGGAGACAATAGACATCCCGGTTTCGGTGATCGTGAAAGCTTACGACGAGGTGGGCGACATGAAGAATGTGATGTTGGCTCAATCCTAAACCCTCCTCCTGTCACATCGAGAAGTCGAGAAGTGAACAAGTAAACCCTAAACCCGAAACCCTAAACCTGGAGCCTTGCCTGCCTGGTGCGAGTGTGAGGGTCGAAACCCTGAACCTTTGGGGGCTGCGCCTTGCGTGCCAGCGCAGCATTTTGTGGTTTTCATTATCAGAAGCAGTGTCAATTGAAATTGAACCCAGTTTACTTAAACCTTTAATCAGCCAGAAGAATTATTTCGATTACTACGTTTGTTGAACACGAACGACCTGTCGGTTGGGCTGTCGTGAGGCGGATTTGGGCTTTCGTGGGGATTCGGGCTCTCGTGGGGAGGGATTCGGGCTTTTTCGGGCTTTCGTGGGGAGGGATTGGGGCCTTTCGTGGGAAGGATTTTGGGCTGTTGTGGGCAGGATTTGGGCTTTCGTGGGGTGGACTTTGGGCTTTTGTGAAGATTCGGGCTTCGTGGTGACTATTTCGAGCTTTCGTGGGGAGGGATTCGAGCTTTCGTGGGGAAGGATTCGGGCTTTCGTGAAGATTTGGGCTATTTGACGAACTCCCGGCTTTAAAAAGCCGAACATTTGCCCAGAAGTGCGTCGAATTTACAAAATTGTGGCTAGAAATGGCGTTTGTATGGAATTAAGCCGAAGAAAGTCGCTTGAGCAAAGGAGCGCACGCAACAGCAAGCGTTGCCGAAACCCAGGCAACGAACCGACTTTGTGAATTATCGACACTATACGGCTTAGGGCCCCTTAAAGCGGGAGTCTTGGGCGCCACATGGCGCCACGCTGCGCTGGCGAAGCCTAAACCGCCCTTCAGCCCAGCTCTGCGACCTTTTTTTTCAGTCTCTCCATGGCTCCAAGGCCACGAAAGATCCTCCAGGAGTTGGCCAGGACAGGGCCGGGGGAAAGATGCGAGGGCGCACAGCTCTATATATGTATAATCTATCCCATTAACCTCGCCTGACCTCGTCGAGTGCGAGTGCCAAAAAAAAAAATATATATATATAAATATAGAGATACATTACATATATATATATATGTGCATGTAAGTATGTAAGTATGTAAGTATGTAAGTATGTAAGTATGTAAGTATGTAAGTAACAATGTCGCCGCAAACCTCGCCTGACCCCGTCGAGTGCGAGTGCCAAAACAGTATGTATGTATGCATGTGTTTATATATAGACATGCACACTTTTGTACATACATTTGCTTATACGCGAACGTATACATACAGGCAGAGACACAGACAGACATAGACACACAACACACGCACACACGCATATATGTTATCCACATATGTTTATGTAGATAAATATGTGTATATATACATACACACATACATGTACTACATGCGCATGGCATGTATGCATGTATTCATATGAGCATGTATGCATGTATGCATGTGTGTATGCTTAGATGCCTGGGCAGACTGGCAAGAACGCCAACACATAAAGACATCTGTCGGTCTGTCTGTCTGTCTGTCCGTCCAAAGTCCAAGTATATTTCCATCCATCTGTCCACGCATCTAAGTGTCTATCCATCTATTTATCGACACTCTTAGGACAGAGGGAGAGGTAGACACATACAGGTCTGCATCTGCATACCATATGGGTGAGTTTGGCTTCAGGGGAGCTCGACATCTTCAGGCCATCCTCGTGGAGAGGTGTACAGAGGCCCGCGCGCTTGACGTCACAGAGGAGCTGGAAGAGTAGCTCGCCCGCATCTGGCATTCGCTTGGGGTTTTGCGCAAGTGTTTAGGGTCCATACTTGTGTCCATCAAGAGCAGCTCACGGTGAAAGCTTGTTTTCACGATGCTGGCAAGACGAGGTACGGGATCATGTGCTTGGCAGAGGAGGTTCCGGATGAAGAGCTGCTGGACCCGGCAATGCATTGAGGCACATTGAGGCCCAGCCGTGCCTTGCATTCCAAGGAAGACCTTCGCTTATTCACAGAGTCTTGAAGTTTGGAGAAGTTTGCATTGTGGTTGGGCGAGGGTTGGGTTTCGCGAAATACTTCATGCATTCGTTTTTCCGGTGCTCGGCACAGCCCAGGTTTGAAGAGCAAAGCAGATGTCACCAGCATCGCTTGGTCGGTTGAGTGCCGGCCTGGCTTTAGACCGTTTCCTGATTTTTATGGAGGCATTGCCTCAAGCGGAAGCCGTGCTCAGTGCGAGCCGGTAAGACAGCGAACAGCCGCCACGTTTCAGGGAAGCTTTCTGAGGAAGCCTCCCTAACATCGCAACAGCAGACCTGCCGCACAAAGGGGCCAGGAAAGATGAGGGCAGTCGGTGCGTGTCTAGGGCTCACGCGGGGGTATCATGCGCACTGATCTTTATCGGAGAATTTCGTAGGAGGTAGACACTTTTTGTCTCATGTTTTGCAAGCGTCTCTGTGGCATTCTGCGCGTTCGCTGTCGTGTTGGAATTACAACGGCCTTCCGCAGCCCCTTCAGAAGGGCCGTTGTGTGTTCTGCCAGCGCTCGATCTTCCTGTGTTTGTACAGCACGTGATCCTCCTTGCAAAGGTGCTGGCCGAGTGGTCAGGCTCCCGAGGGGCGCAAGCGGAGGAGACGAAGGGTGGAGGCGGAGGCCAAGCTCTGAGTTCCGATAGAAATGCCTTGCTGGGAGCCAGGTCACCGAAACGCCCCAGGCGGCCGACGAGGCAGCTCCAAAGAGTGCGGAAAGGAAGAGAGGAATGGTGGAGAAGGCGGAGGACGAGGCTTCCGGCTTGGGCCCCGCAGCCCAGGACATCTGTCGCTCGGACAGGACAAGCCGTTGGCCGAATCCGTGGCTGCTCCGGAGGCCAAAGAGGAAGACGAGGAGTCTCAAATTATACGGTAGCGAATGAGAACTGGCCCAGAACGAGCTTCGCAATCCTTCTCCATCACAACTAACTCCGTAGGATGCTCAAACCGATGCCAACGAATGCAGCTGACCTTTCACGCGCCCATGAAACTACTCGGTGCCGACGATTCGTATCTAGTACTCTTCAGGGCTTTGGGCACGGTAAATGCTGCGCAATGTGAAAAAGGTTCCCTCAACCAACTCCTAGGCCTAACAAGTCCACTCGCTTTATGGCGCCGTCGGAATAAATTGGCATTAACAGTCACAGATCCCAAAGCCAGGCAAAGCTGCCTGCAACAGAGCTCTAAAATTCCGCAGCTTAGCATTGAGCCAGCGAATGTTCAGCTCTTGCGTGAAAGGCATTTTTGAAGAATGCCTGCTTGACTTTGGTTGTACTGTACAAAGAACGTGCTTGTTCTCGCAGCCTGAACCGAGCAATCAGATCGTCAAACTCTTTGATGCAATAACCTCGCGCCTTCAGCTGCTGCTTGAAGAAGCTGAGACTTCTTTCAACGTCAGAAGCAAGCCTGTTTCTTCTAATGCAACGCAAAAAGCCTCCCACTTGCGACGATTTGAAGCTGCTCGCTGGGTGGCAACTGTTTGCTGGCACATAAAGATACAGGTTACGCGGTTTGCGATGCAACGACCAATGAACTCGCCGGTCCGGCAAAACACTGAGAGTGACATCAAGGAAGTTGACGGTACCACTCCCGCCCAAGTCAAAACATAGAGAGTCATGCCAACTGTTAGGATAATCCAACAAAGCATCCGGAGCACCCGCCCAAAGCAACAGCAGATCGTCGATATATCTTCTCAACAACTGCAGCTGGGCACCACAACGCTCCTCCAAGAAGCAGTCGAAATGCCATAAATACAGATTTGCAAGAATGCTAGCAACCGATAAGCCCGTGGGACTGCCGTCTTGAGATTCAAAGAACTCTCCTTTCCAAGTAACAACTGGAGCATCAAGGACCAGCTCCAGAATCCGCAAGATGAAAGCACAAAAGCTGTAATTGTGCACTTTCTGGCGAAGAAACGGACCTAACTTTGAAAACAAGTGCTGGCGACTGACTGACTGACGGGTGCAAATTCACAATGTCCAAAGTGACCCACTGCATTCCCTCAGCGCAGGTCAACTGATCTGTGGATGTAATCGCTGAATGAAGAGTACGGGTGAGAGGACCAAGATGCTCCGCCAAAAACGTCAGGAAAGGTGTAAACCAAACACGACGCAGATTACAAACTGGACGGGACGCCACTTGCTTCTTGTGGATCTTGGCAAGAATGCGACAAACTCCAGCGGTATTGCAATTGAGCTTGCTAAGCAAGAACTGGCTCTCTCTGTGAGAAACACAGCCTGATGAGCGGAAAACTGCACCATTGTGTCGGCTTGCAACTTGCAGTCATTCATCTTCCGCAAGAGCTCCTCAAGATGAGTCTGTACATAACCCTGGGATAATTGCAAGTGCACTTGATCTTGAACCCAACTGCCCCTGCCGAAAAACCTGCTCTCTGGAACGACAATGAGTGGTGGCTGTATTGAAGCTAACATAGCTTCAACCTCGGGACCTGTATAGCATGCCGCAGCATATTCGGATTGTACCCTGCAGTGCGGGCTAGTCCTAGCAAGGTGGGAGGAAAAAAATACCAAAGCAAAGCATCTCCAAGTCCTTTGTCACAGTCAATAATCAATACTTCCGCATGTTTCTTCAGCCAGTCTCTGGCTAGACGATCCAGCCAAGACATATTTCCGAAACTCTGCTTTGGGGTAAAAGTCAGCAGCTCCTCACGCAACAACCTTATGAAAGTGATCGCCAGGTGGCTCCCAATCACTTTTGATACGACAACGTGTCGAAGGGATTGCAGCCTCCCTGTGCAATAAAGTTTTGGACATCAGAAGGCTGCACCTGAGCTGCTGCAACCCAGCAGCTAACGATTTGGCTGTCGCACGCTTGACAGCAGGAACGAACTTACTCCCGTTGCTCACACGCAGAAGCACACAAAGCGGAACATCAAGCACACAATGAGTATCGAATTATGCACACCTTTGAAGGTGGGTCTTTGAAGCAAGCGCTTGAAACCCACACGCAGGGCTACCACAAACCGATTCCAGTCAATGGCAGTCTTTTCTGCATCAAGCCAAAAAGACCGCCTCCTTCGTGCTATTTTCCCTTCTTTCCTTTGCTCTTGCCTTTCTCTTTGCCCTTCCCCTTGCCTTTGAACCGCACCTGCTTGCCCGGCGACTTGCTGTTGCCTCTGCTCTTAGACTTTTTTGCTGAAGCTTTCGAGCTTGCTCTTGGAGATCTGGCCGACCTAGAAGCCCGAAGGGCCGAGGAAGAATGGCCTCTCGAAGAAACCCTTCCTTTGGTTCGCCTTTTCGGGGTATTTGGAGCTTGACTTGACTCAAACTTGATATTGTGCTGACGGCAGAGCTCGGCATTATCTTTAACAAGGAAAGCAAGGGCTCCGCCATCTTGAGCACGAATTGGCTTGTTGCGTGCTGTCTTCGCCTGTGCTAACTCGAGCAATGCAGGCGAGAGCACATCCTTCACATCCATGGATTCCCATTTGCTCTTCGCTTCAATCAAGGCCTGCTGGCGCTTCTCGTAATTTTCCTTGTCCTTGTTCATCCTGGTTTGTAGCTTGGGCCTCCCTGCTCGGATCGTACTCTCAACAAACTGCTTAGCCTTCGCCTTCATCGCATTGTGAACGGCGTCGTCGTTGTAACCGTGCTCTGCGACCCAAGCTGCCAACTTATCCAGCAGCCTATTTTGCAGCTCCTCAACAGAAACATGCTGATCATACAACTGCACGACTTGGTCTTGATGCTCACAGATAAATGCGAAACATTCCTTCGCATGTCGCTGTCTCATCGACTCCCAAGCCGAAAGAATGTCATACTGATCACCCATAAATTCGTTTGAAATTTTTGAAGATGCTGGAGCAGCATGTGCAATGTAAAGCTTCGTCAATTGCCATTTGTACTCAGCCTCCGCCCGGAAATGAGGATGCATGCTGCCACTTTCAAGCATTCTCGCGTGCTTGCTTTGCAAAGCCTTCTGATCTTCCCAAGCGGATAGAAGATGTCTCATTTCCTTGGCGAAGCCTTCGAAAACTTCCTTCAAGGCCGGGTCCACACCATGCAGAATCTTTTCCGGAGACTGAAACAAGTTAACTTCTTGCTCATCTTCCTGCTACCCGCTGCGGTGTAAGCAGATCTCTCGCGATGATGAGCATTGGGAAAAGAGGTGGGTGCCTTCGGTGGCTGCCCAGCTCCCGGCATAGATGCCGCAAACACATTCTGGAAGGCTTGATCGCTGGCTGAAGAAAGTAACCCTTCACTTCCGGTACCCCTGCACCCAAAGAGCTCGCCACCACACGGCTGCCACCTTCTCTGCCACGATTTGTCATGGTGAACACCTAATAGTCTGCCACGCACAACTAACTCCGTAGGATGCTCAAACCGATGCCAACGAATGCAGCTGACTTTTCACGCGCCCATGAAACTACTCGTGCCGACGATTCGTATCTAGTACTCTTCAGGGCTTTGGGCACGATAAATGCTGCGCAATGTGAAAAAGGTCACACGCAGGCTGAACCTGCACACAACCCTTCACTCGATGGCTGCTGCTGTAAATTCTTTTTTACAGCAGGAGGGGCGCGAACGGAAGAGACGAAGGGTGGAGCAGGGGGAGGCCAAGCTCTGAGTGGCTTGCGGCTTGGCCCGGGCCCCGCAGCATAGGACATCTGCATGTCGCTCGGACAGGACGAATCCGTGGCTGCACCGGAGGCCACAGAGGAAGACGAGGAGTCTCCTTTTTATGGGCAGCAAATGAGAACTGGCCTTAAGGGAGCTCGCAATCCCTTCTCTCACAGGACCTTCCCTTGGAGGAGTTGGCGAAGAGTGAAGGCAGCGGCGAGGCCGAGACCAAGGACGCCGAGGCCGAGTCGGTCGAGCCCGTTGCGGAGCAGGTGCCTGGCTCAGGAGCTGAAGAGCTCACAAAGAACTCTCTGAACAAAGCAAAGCTGGCAAATGCTGCGATGTTCATGCGACCACAGGCGGGTAGCATGGAAGTGGACACGGCAGCAGCCGAGGACTTGCGGTTACGTAAATGTTGAGTTTCTGGGGTACTTTTACGTAGTGTTGCAGGTCTGACACCTTCGCACGGCATAGTAGGTCCTTGTCTGTAGTCTGCCAGTCTGCCTTGCCGTGTCGAATCCGTTGCGGCCCACAGCTGACTGCGCCCCTATCCTTTGGTGTCTTCTGCGAGACAGAGCCCCAGGCGGGCATCACTCGTGTCCTTGCAGGAGTTGGGCAAGGTGGCATGATCTGACATGATCTGTGTACCGCCAGTTCGCTGGCAGGCATGCTCGACTTGATCACCCTTGTCTCGGCAGTTGGCCTGCAGAAGGAACCGCCAAAGCTGTACCGGGGCCGCACTGCGAAACCTGATCGAGCGCGGCAGGAGCTGACAAACACAAAGCACAGCGAGCCGATCATCCGTGAGGCTCGCGGCTGGCCTGTTCGGGTCCGTCAAGGATGGACCCTCTTCGTGGCCCTTCCGTAACACGCAGCTCCAAGCAATCACATGGGCCTGGGCCAGGATAACACCGACTTCGTGGCCTCTGCTGCGGAGTCGCTGTCTGTGGCCTTTGACCGCTTCGAGGGCGTTCTTGCACAGGCCTCATGTCTCAGGTTTCAGGGCCGCGGCCAAAGCTTCAGATGCCTAGAAATCACAGCATTCTGGAGACGCTGGAGTTTCATATGCTCGGCTGATGCTACCATGCTTGTAAGCTGGCAGGGCGTGGCTCTTGTCCTCCCTGCGGATAAGCCCGCAACGCCACCAAAGAAGGCGCAGTTGTGTGTCATCTTCGTAAGTTGGGCAGATGTGTGTTGTGCTTTGCTTCTTTTTGTCTGACTTGCTGGTCAATGAGAATCTGCGAAGGCTTGAAGCGTGAGCCGTGGGGGGCCTCGCAGCCGTGGAAGTGGCAGTAAGGTGCTGGAAATCTGGAACCTAGACTGCCACTGTGTCCCAGAGCGGTCACTGCAGCGAATTCAATTTGCATGTGGTTCGGTCGTGGTCCTGTGTGCCTCAACAGTTCTAGGCGGCCTACGCCAGCTTGGACAGGAGTCCGGCTCGAACCCTTGCAGAAACAAGGTAGGATTCCATCGCTTCCGGGACCATTGCTTTGACATGGCCCCGCGATCCCAGCGCCATCCAGCGAAAAGAAGAATCCGGCTGTGGACCTAGGGTGCCCAGAAGAACGGAAGGGGCAAGCAACAACGCGTCATGCCAGAACATAGATTGCAGGCCGGCTTCGTGCCACAACATGATATAGGAGAGGTTGTATGTGATTAGATGTCAATGTGTCTTTCACATGGAAGAGCACATCAGGCCAACAAGGTGTTGTCGCATTGAGGTCAACGTCGGAAGCAACTGAAACGTTCTGCACGGCCACGGCGACGTAGACCACACAACATGCGGTATATCAAAAACGAGAAGGCAAGTGCGAAGCTGGGCAGTGCACGGAGGACGACGACAGCTCTGTGGAGCAGTCCGTTACTGTGCGTCGGGGGCCACGGCTTTTAATTGACCCGGAGCCTACGACATGTTGACATTTGCTTCTGATGCCGTGCTGTGCACCAAAATCTGTCATCAAGTGTGCATCCGCCTGACCGGGTTTTACCGCTCCTACCCGAGGCTTGCCGGTCACACGAGTCGGTGGGGAGGAGGAGGAGTGCTATGCACCGCAGATCTTTCCCCTGCTGGCCACGGTTTGCAATGCGAAGCCATCGTGTGGAAGCATCTGTCCTATTCTTCGACTGTACGTTGCAGGAAGAGTTCTTGAAGAAGGCCGGAAGCCCGACATGCGGTTTGGTATGTGTTGGTTTACCATGCCATGTTCTGTGTTGACTCTATGTCGTGAATGTAGTACCATCGCAGAATACCATCTCGCCCCTCTCTGAACAAATGCCACCTATGGCCACCCCTTGCATGGTTTCCGGGGACGGGGTCTGCTCACTTCGGCCTGCTGGAGCTTGCCGACGGAGAGAGGCAAGGCACCTTGGGCTGCAGGCGCTCGAAGAGACCTTGCATCGTAAGCTCCAGAGACCAAGTCTAACCGAGAGCAGTTATGTGAGGCAGCAATTTCCCAGATGGAGTCCGCTCGCCTTCAGGCTGCCCAGAAGCGGTTGTTCAGTGCCTGTTGGGGCTTTTGCTGTTGACTCGAAGTCTGCTGGATTGGAATTCAAGCATCTTCGAGACGGAGCTGTTGTAGTGCTACAAAGTGCTCCGTGACTCCCGAACAGCGGTTAGGAGAAGGGCAAGGGCAAAGGCTACGGCAAGGGCCACGGCAAGTCCCAAAAAGGTGGCAAGGCCGGGAGGGAGTTTGCTGCGACGACGGAAAGGGCAAGAGCAAGGCACTGACTGTTGAAGTAGCTAACAGCTTTAGGCTCAATTGTGCCGTGGACTGGAAGCAGGATGGCAAGGGAAAATCAGGCAAAGGCGGCAAAGGAGGAAAAGGTGCCGTTAGCTTGTTCTTCCCTTCAGTTTTCTTGGTCATGGCGTTCAGAGCAAAGCGCCAGTGCTCGGTGTCCGCTGCCAGGCAAGGGGCGGAAAGGCGGCAAACACTGAGCCGATGTAGTCTGGTTACCCTGCAGCTCAATCCTGCGCCAGCAAAATCGATCCCTGCGTTGCAGATGCTGAGCTGAGTCTCGGCCTCACTTCGCTCGTGAGAAAGCACTGGCCTCAAGGCTCCTGTATTTCCTGTGTGACATGGAGCAGAGAAAGTTGACTTAGCAGCAGTTAGCACCTAACAATTTCCAATATCCGTGTCAGAAGCGAGCAATGAGCAAAGCACTTCCGCAGTTGTAGTCGTTTGGAGCACAACTCGTGCCATTCAGTGTAGGTTTCTCGGCGCAGCCATGGAGTCAGCAGGCCAGCTTCACATGGAGGTTAGGTCCATTTCGTTCGAAGGTTTCATGCATCAGACTTATTGTCGCTTACCAGTCTTACCTCAAGGAACATGTGGGTAAAGGCCTGCTCTGTTCAGTCTTGATGCTGAGTTGAGAAAGCGGCCGGTGGCGCTTTGGGCTGTGGTCACAGTCCACGGAAGGATGCTCCGTCCTGAGGTGCTGGAGATGTGGACTTCAGAGCGGTACTGATTCCCGTGATCTCCCGTGCGGATGCACACGAGCTCGCGAAGGTGCAGACCGCCTGCAGGATGTGGCGGGAGGTGGGCCTGCGAGATGTCGTAGGCACAGGCAGAGCTTCCATGCCTGCCAGGCAGATGTGCTGGTGCAAGGCCGCTGGATGCAGCTTCTGCTTAGAGACTTCCTCCAGGAGTTGCAGATGGGCGTGGCTGAAGGGGGAAGCCGCAGTAAACCCTCCGACATGTACTCGGTCCAACTTCATACCCGCAAAACTGCAGCCCCTCCCAATTTGGCCAGCTACCTGCGCACATGAAGTGCCACCTGGTCTTCGGTCCAATGGACGAGAACATGTCGAGCGATCACCATCCGTGCTCAAGTATCTACAACTTCCGAACCCACCAAACCTCTGATAGTCGTGACCGCCAAAGGGCATCATTCAATCTCCACTGCCTGTCAGTAGATCCGTGGCTTTACCTTGCAGTTATGGTCGTGTTTTGTGTCTTTCGTCATGAGTCTTGCTGAAGTCGGGGGTATCTGATATGTTGTCGCTTGTCGGGTTGAAGGGGTCCGCGGACAGTGAAGCCTGTGATCTGGTGGGTCTTTCGTGTGTCTGAGCTGCGGTAATCCACGTTCGACTCCGGGAAGGCCAGCCGCCAAAGAAAACACGCTGCTGATCGTGATGCCCTTGACAGCGATGATGGCGACGACGTGGTGGTGGCAGTGTTGGTAGTGGTGGAGGGCGGTCGGGTGGTGGTGATGGTGTGGGGGTCCTCGCCGACAGCATCCTCGTCGTTGTCGTCTTTGTCGTGAGCGCCATCGTCGAAGCCCGACCCGAGCCAGGGTCGCGATAGGAACGGTCGCAATAGCAGCACAAGTCAAGTCAAGACACGCAGCAAGAAGCCCCGCAACCAGTTTGAAGCATCTCACTCACAACATGTACAGTGCAAAAGTCTACAGCAGTAAATTGGATGATGACAGGGAGGTAAGACGCAGGAGGAGGAGGAGGAGCAATGAGATGGCAAGCAGTGAAGGGGACGATGGCCGCAAGCTCGTGGAACTTAATATAGTACAATATAATATAGTATAAAATAGAACTTAATATAGTATAATATAGTATAATATAGTATAATATAGTATAATATAGTATCATATAGTATCATTACGCCAGGACTGGGGTGGCGCCTCGCGCTACCGGGCCCTGGCACAGCCTCAGTGCCAGCGATGCAATCGCCTCTTCTGGGCCCAGCGGCGGCGCCTCGGGTGGCACACATTGGGTAACCTGCCAGAAAGGTTTCATGAAGCAGCTCATGAGCGGCTCTTGATGTTTGTCTTGAGTGGCAGGGGACATTTCTGGATGCCCAGTGTTATGTCTACGAGCTGAGGGCTCACGCCTGCCTCTTCAAAAGTAAGTCTTTTGTTTCTTTTCGCTTGTTTTGTCACGGGTTTCCGGATGTTTTCGCCTGCGATCGAGCAGGCGTTCGGGACGTGCGACTCGTTTATACATGCGTTTTCGAGGTGGGGCGAAAAATTCTATTCGAGACAACTCAAGGCGTGCTTTCGTGCTGCCAACTCCTGTTACCGACAGTGAAGGCAGAGGTGGAGGTGACACAGAGGGGGAGGAGGAGAGGAGGAAAAGTCACGCTTCCGATGGGTCGGTCGGCTTTTGATTTTTGAGCCGCTTCAACAAGTCCGGAGCTGAGTGGGGCAAGCTGGTCTGAAATGCAGCTCGAAGTCCACATCCGTTTGGATTGACAGGGGTGCCTTCCGCCGGTGTCCCTGCGTGGCATGGCGGGATGCGAGGCACTGCAGGGGCTGCGAAGGGGTTCATGTCTATGACGATGTCAAAGGGTAGCGTAGTGGGAAGGGTCTCCTGGCAGGCCGTCGCTGACGATCGTGTCTTTGAACTTGGAGCGATGTGCAGACGGCAGTTTTTGCGAGCTTGGCCCTCGGAGACACAGAAACTCCGCCTCCTTCAAGCGCTCCTTTCTCCTTTCCTTTCTCTCAGGTGGTCCGGCTTCTCGGCCGCCAGAGCAGCCACTACGGCGCTCTTCCAGGTGCAGTTCCGATCCGTACCCGAGCTCTCCGACGCGGCCCTGGAGACGGCAGACCTCGTCTTCCTGCACACGACCAGTGCAAAGAGGGCCTTAAGTGCTGCGGAGCAGGCCACCAGTGGCTTGGGATGACATGACCATGACCGACTGTCCCGAGCAAGAGCTAGGACCTAGTGACCGAGTGACGAGTGTTAGTCGATAGCAGATGGCACTCATGTTGGCAGGCGACGCTTTCCAGATTCTGCTCGCGCGGTGGCACTGCTGTGCTGAACTGCTTCAGTGCTTGGACCGTCAACGGCGGCGCCCTGGACACAAAAGCCAGAATCATTGAAGACGGTGTGCAGAATCGCAGAATTTCAATCAATGGGTTGTCAATTGGTTCTTTCGTGATCAGTGAATGCTCAGGATGGGGGAAGGAGTTGGTGAAGTTTCTGGGCATTTTCCCAGAGCCATCGGCGAAATTTGGTGCGGGCTATGCCACCAAGCTTTCGACCGCCAAAGGACACAAGAAGCCAAATTCAAACGCGAGTCCCTCTTTCGAAGCCCCTTTAAGAGTGGTGACTCCAGGACTGGAAGACCTGTGTCTTGCGGGACCCTGGGGTGCACCGCACGCCTACCAGTCTTGGAGCTCCATCTTGAGAGCCATGCGGAGCGAAGCGGTGCTTTCGAACGACGAAGCGCGCTGCTTTATCAACCTGGGCGATCCTTGGCTCTTCATTTTTTTTTGTGGTCTTTCTGAGTCATGTCCCCGGAGCCGCGCTGTGCTCAGGAAACCAACTTCAATGCCTGGTTGCCCCTGGAGTCCGGGGATGCCATTCCCGTGTGCACCAGTGGCCTCCAGGAGAGCCCTTTGAGCCGAAAGACACCCCTCTGGTTTCCGAAGGTCAACGGCGCGGGCCAGGCACGGCCCCTGGTAGCAGCCGAATCATTCTGGTGCCTCTACGTCCTGTCTTTCGCTCGTGGGCTCCAGAATTCTAGCATGTCTCATGGCCTCCTGCCCTCAAGCTTTGGGAGGCCTTCCTGTGCTCGAACCTCCACTGGCTGGCAGATCCTCAAGCTTGGCATGGAGGGATGATCCGCTCTGAGGGCAATGTAATTCTCTGGCTTAACATCTGTGCAGCTCGGCAGCTTATCATGCTTTTCCCAGAGAATCATCTTACCTTGATTCCAGGGGTTGCTTTGTCCTTCAACGCTTCCAGGGGGGTTTGCCAATTAAGGCCTAGTCATAGTCCGTTCCAACAGGCATCTGCGTGCCGAGCTCTCTGACCTCGGTGAGGCTCTGCACGGCTCCTTGGTTCATTCCTTACTTCTTTTTTGGAGCCGCTTTTGGCAAAAACACGCCCATGTCATGATTCTCGTGATCCTGGGTCACCATGCAGGACAAGGCAGATGATGCCTTCGTTCCCACGTCTCTTGTACAGGACCCCAGCTGTAGTTAGCAGTGAACTTTGGCTGAGTTTGCGAGCCGTGAACTGCTACAATTGTTCGGCATGCGCAAAGCACATCAGTGTGGGCGAAGGACCGCAGATTGCGGCTGCTTGACCATGCGTCTGCGCGTCAAGAGAGACGCAAAGAACTGAGCTAATCACCATGGCGCGCCTGTTCCAAAACTAGGGAGATGCAGCACGGCCACAGCAGACGGTCCGGGCAGGGCTCCGACCGTAAATTTTTCGCAACTTGTCACGTGCCGAGTGCCCCACCAGCAGTCATGTTTGTCTTTGTCCGAATCCAGCGAATCTAGTGAGACACTGGGCCCGTTTAGGTAAAGTGAATATGCCGCCGCTTCCAAGCAAGATGCGAGACACTTTGAAGTTACACGGGCGACCGGAGTGAAGAAACTGGAAGCCCAGAATTTTAGGTCGCATGCCCAGGCACCTACGCCTGGAGGGCGAACGGTGGGACAAGCCCTCTGTTTCTGTAGAGGAACGTCCTGGGCGTTGGGAATGGACTGTGCGCAGAAGCAGAGCAATCGTACATAATATGTGTTCAACTTTGTGGCTGCTCCTTTGTTCTTGGTGGTGTATTTTGGTCAAGATTTAACACAACCGAGTTCCAGTCAGTCCATGATGGCTAGACCTGGGGCAGCACTTGCACGTAGCCCGTTCCGGTGCATGGCTTTGAGTTTTAGGCAAGTCCAGACTCCCCCTCCCTGATCAGGGATGTGCACGCTGCAAGCGCTCTTTCGTACTTTCTTCGCAGCCCACAGTCCTCTTCTAGAAGGTCCCTAGAGTTTCGTTGTCGATCACGGGGCTCCTCCACTTAGAGCGCTTGTTCGGGGAAGATGCTCTGCCTGAAGGGCCCTTCAATCGGCGCAAGGTCGCCGCATGCCAGATTTGAATGCAGGGGCCGTTCAGGAGCTCTCCCACATGCTTGGGGTTTCGAGTCTTCAGGCAGCCTACCCGGGGCCTAAGCCGCCTGTGACCCGTTGAGGAAAGAGCTTCCGCCCTTACTCGAAACCTTCCTCTCGTTTCACTCCTTTCGCGATTTAGACTTCTAGAATGCCCCAGATGTCGCCCAGTTCCAGAAACAAGGACGTACAGCTTGCCACTTGATAGATCGTTTGCAGACAGCGCAGCCGTGGACTTCGGCACTCTGTGTGTTTTCGCTCAGCCAAGCTATTGCAGCATTTAGCTGCAGTTTTACCACATAGCCTGAGCCAAAGCACTCCCGTATCAGCTGGAAGCAACTCCGTGAGATGCTGGCTGTTTTGCAGCCGCCGCAATGGGGCGCCAGTGGCGGATCTCCCTGGCAGGCCTACTTGGCTTCGGATGTGTCGGCTGTGTGGCTCCGGCTTCCGTTGCTCATCCTGCTGTGCTTACTACCGACGCTTCTCTGAGCCCGTGCTTCGCTTTTCGCCTGCAAGTCAGGCGCTCTGCACACTGCCGCGGCAGTCGAGCTCTCGCCAGCTGGCTGGTGTGCCAGAGGCTCGGGGGAGTCGGAGCAGGCTTTGTGCCTTGGACAGCAAGTGATGGGAGGCTGCTCGAGAGGCTAGTTGTTTGCTGAATGCCGGATGTCTCGCCGAACCATGCATAGAATCTAGGTCTTGCCAGGTTGAGGAAAAGAGCGGCTCATGCCTTGCACTGCATCGTGTTGGCACACATGTCCAGCTGTCTTGGATGTCCATTTTTGAGGCTGAGTCGGTGCTGCCGTCCTGGCAGCGAAAACTGTGCCCTGGCTGCGAGTGTAGTGGCAGTAGTGGCAGTGGATCGGGGTCTAGTCAAGTTGCGAATTTCACCAAAGCAAGCAGGTCGGATCAAGCTCTGCAGCACTGCAGCTTGTTGGCTTGAGGTTTTGACATTGCCGATGCCATTGGTGGCAAATGCTGCCGGCAGGACATTGATGGTGGCTTCTATGGCTTTCTTATTCCGCCACGATCGTTCTCTCTGAGTCTTTTCACGCATCTTGAAGCGGCGACGGCAGCCTGTCACGGCATGAATGATGAGCCACGTCCTTGCTGAGGAACGGGGTTCCGCACGAGCTTGACAGCTGCAGTGTCTCCGCATGCCTCTTCTCACTGAAGACCTTCCGCACCCTTAGCGACGACCCTGTGGAAGCCATGTCCGATTCTCGGCAGCTCTGGGGTTGCATCCACTTGAATCCACTTGGCTTGTGCCAAGCGGTCTCAGGAGCTGCTGCAGATGGGCCTCCTCAGCCCAGAGTGGCGGCCGGATTTGCCATTCCTAGGCTGGTTTGGGGACAACTGGCAGTTCGTGTTTTCCGTAATCTTTCCTACAAGAGCAAGCACGCTGCCGAGCTTGTTTGTCAGGTCTAGCAGACACCCCTGATGGCATTCTCAGTTTGTGGCAGACATCCCTTTGAGATGTTAGTTCACTTGCATTCTTCCAACCCTGCTGGGAGGCCCGACGAGCCCCATTCTCGTGGATATGGTTCGCGTGAATGGCCCAAGGGACGACCCACCCATTTTCTATCACCGCTTCTTCCATGACCATGCAGAGGCAGAGGAGCTTTTGAGTTAGCGTCGAATCTTTGCAGCCAGTTTTTTGCCAACATGCCCTCCCAAACACTGAGCGGGCATGCGAGACTTCGAGGTGGTGCCACAAGCTCTCTGGGAGTATTCCCACTACATCAGCCAGAGGCTAGATCCGGTTTGCCAGTCGCATGAGCCACCGGAGCCATGGGCTATGAGTTCTGAGGAGTTGTCACTGCTATAATTCTGAGAGGCAGGTACCAGCAATGCACACCCTGAACAAGAATCAAGACTTCTCTTCGTCCAACTAAAGGTTCCGACCCTCAGTCCGATGTTTTTTTTTTATCAGGCCTCTTCCGCACCTTCATTCCGCTTCATGCGCTGGCTTTCGGGGGTTCCTTCGTGCTACTTCCGGCCCTACTCAGCGTCGGGATCCCTCTTGTTCAAACCCACAAACAGTTGCACAGCTGGCCGCTTCGACTTTTACGATGATTTGTCGCGTCCGCTGCGAGCAAAAGAAACTGCAAGCTTCTCACCTCTTCGGCTGAAAGGCCTGTGCGCCACGCGGGAGCAGACAAGCGTAGAAGGGAAGCTGGGAATCCCACTGCCATGGGACAACCGGCTCCGTCGTGAAAAGATCTCATCCGGCCGACGCCGCGGCAGGATGCCACCATGATGGCACGATCTGAGCTTGTGCCGTCCAATGAAAAGGAGCATTATGTGCAGTGCATTGAGGATTCGGCGAGCGGACTTCCCAGACGCACTTGGTCCTTATCGTCAGACTCCGTATTTCTGGGCTGCAGCACGCGAAGACTGGTGATGCTGGTCAAGTTGCGTTCACCATGTGAAAAGGGGGACAGAAAGCCAGCCTCTGACCGAAAAATCAAACGAGAACGTCCTCGTGGAAAGCCAAGAGTATCTCAAAATCTGAGGCAGTGAGTGGGCAATCAAGCTTCTGTGTAAGTTATGTGTGCATAGTAGTTACGCGCTCTTAAAACTTTCGTTGCCTGTAATGCAATGTTTTGGGGCTACAGAGCGTCCGAAGCGCCCGGAGCAGTAGTTCCTTGCGGTGATCAACGCGATCTTCAAAAACATCAGCAGCCAGCTGTACAAGACTCGGTTCCAAATGCCGTGCCAGTGTGGAGGATAAGGAGATACCCGTGAAGCGCATTGAAGAGTCAGCAAGCACATCGTCCCATTCCGCCTTCACTCTGGCAGCTGTTTCGCATGTTTCGCAAGAAGCTCGAACACTTACTGGGCATATTCATGCACTTTTCGAGAACCGCGAGCTATCTGTGAGTGGTATTCCTGGTACCCCGGTCCAGCCAAGGCCCAGGCAGGGGAAGAAGAGATGCTACATGAAGGCAGGCTTCGTCCGGTGTCATCCCGGACGAAGGCCGAGGCAAGCCAAACTTGGGAAGGGGCCAGTGAGGGGCCCAGCAGGCCCCTAAGCCACAACGGCTCTGTCAATTCGGCATAAATGAGTGGCTGCTGGCCTCTTTGACATGAGTGATCTTCATGACTTTCTGGTTCTTCTATTCTGCAAGTTGACGCAAAGGACCAACCCCCTGCCCGTTCAGGTTGGAAGGGGCTAGGCCGATGCAAGGCCCTCGAGGACAGCGAATTTCGTGCCACAGGGCCAGGCATCCTTTCCAGCATATTAGAGCGGTGGACATGCCACAGTGTCAGCCATGAGATGATGTGGTTTGTCCAACTGGGTGACACCGATTGCCAGCATGCAAACTGGCCTGTCCTGCAGTTTCACCAGCCAGGGGCTGCTGCGAGCCTAAGTGTGCCCTCGCATTCTGCGAACTGGGAAAAACCCTCCGTTGCATTCTGGATCGAATCTTTCTGCTACTGTTTTGGGGGAGTGCGGTAGTTGAACCGTGAATCTTGTGGATCCCACACTCTCGCCATCTTTGACACGCGAAGCTCTGCCAGTTCTTCCTTCGCCGCGGCGCTTGCTGCTCGCCGCAGTGGAGGAGCACCTTGTGAGCAGCGCGAGGCGGCTTTGGAGGCCTCTGTTTGGCTCTGCTTCCCTGCTTCAAGTGCGAGTTTTCAGAGAACAAAACACCCTCTCAGCTTGAAGAGCCTCTGCCAGTGCGAGGTGGCCATGGCCGACACCACAGCCTTGCCTTGGCTGGCTCAGAGGCACACCGGTCGAAGGGCCAACGCCATTGTGTTTCGTCTCGGCGAGGTGGGTGCTGACGGGAAACTCGCGTCTGGCCACTTCGTATCGCAAGAGGCACAGAAATCAACAAAAGCTTCAATCCATTGCGGACCCGTGGACCCCGTTTGATCACTGCCCAGATCTATCATGCTGTTTTGGTTGTTCTTTCTTATCAACTTGGCCGAGGACACCTTCGTCAACATCGGAGCTCGAGATGGTGTGCATGAAGATCCCTTGCATCCTCTGCTTTCGAACCCTGCGGACGTGCGCTTCGCTCTTGCTGTGGAGATGGACCTTGAGCTTCTAGTCTGCATGTAGCGGCAGCGATGTTTGCACAGGCCTCGTGACGAAAAGCTGTGAGGTTCTGTGAACAACACGCCCGCAACCTGCCTCACGTGGAGTTGCTCTGCATGAGAGCCACGAAAGCAACGGTCCCCGACATCGTCGCAAGACTGCCGGAGTGGCTGCGAGGGCAGAAGAGGTTAGCCGATGGTGTCGTGAACATGGATGAGCGCGTGAGTAGCAGGTGTGACAGCAGGGTGTATGCCAGGCCTGCCGCGGATCTGTCATCTTTGCCTCGCTTGGACGTCCTCAAGGTGGACCTGGATGGTGCGGACTGCGATCTTGCAGCGCTGTCACAGCCTGAGAGTAAGACGATGAGGAATGGAGTTTCTTCTCCTCCGACCGCTGAGATCAGTTGAGGTTCCTGTGGAAAGTCCTGGCCAAGTTCGTTGTCATGGAGGTGTGCGACGCTGTGCCACCGCCGCTGCGCTTCAACCTCCATGACGACGAGCGACTCGTGTGGCCTCCAAAAGCTCCCTGGGGCTGCTCTCTCAGCTACCAGGCAGGGAGGGTCAGGGCATGTTTCGATGCGGATGGCAATGTTGTCCCAGGTGCAGCTGATGAAGCAGTTTGACCTGCAACTGGTCTGGTATGGCGCGGGGAATGCGATCTTCGCTCATCGTCTTGCTGCGCATCTGCTAGGACTGCTCGGTAGCGCGATAACAGTCAGGCGACCAACCTGTTCGGCCATTTCGCTGCCGGTCCGTGACTGCCTGTCGGCAGGATTGCCAAGCCCTTTAGACGAGGTGGACTGCTATGCTAAATCCGTGCTGATGACAATGTGGCCTAGTGGTCGCACGCTGCGCCGGTGGTTTTACGAGGAGACTTGCTCCTGTTCAGTTCCTGATGTCTGTGATCTGCCAGATTGTCAACAGGACAACCTCAACGACACCTTCATTGAAGTCCGGGCAGCCTTGACCAAACGCCTTGGGAATTTGCCTTTCACATTGGAGATGTGATGGGAAATGGAAGCCAGCAGTCAACTTTGGAACCTTTTCCTCCCCGGACATAGTCTGCCAGAATGCTTCTGGATTCGCCAAGTCGCCGATGACAAAGTCCAGCTGTGCAGGAAAGGGCAAACTCCAGCCCCAACATCCCGGCCAATGCTGCTCAAGTCCAGACGAAGTTGTTCTGTGCTTCCATCGTCTTGAACCGGAGGAATCATCTCCTGGCAGATCAGGGGCGTTGCGGTGCGGACAGCATGCCAGAAGCTCGCGCGGTTCGATGCTTCAAATGCTTTTCTGGATTCTTTGTCCCTCTCACTCTCTGTCTCTTCTCGGCACTCGACATATATGTCTGTGGTTGTCCAGGCGGAGGTTTGCTGACAATCAGATGAAGCCTTGACGTGTCCGTTGGTTTACCAGCTTATCATGTAGGTGTAGACAATGGCAGGCGGCCGAAACATGTGAGACGAAGTCGCCAGTAACGCTTTCAGGCCGCAGTGATCAGGATCGCAAGTGCTACTAAGTCCATGTCCCAATTCGGGCCTTGCCCGCTAGCAGCACGAACACCAGATGCAATAGCCCTCTTGGACTCTCACCTCGTAGTGACGCCCACTCGCAGTGTCGCCCCCTCCCCACCTCCTTTCCTTGTCTCAGCTGTGCCGAGCGCATGGGCGGCTGTTCCCAGACTTGAGTCCGCCGGGCAGTCTGCCGGGCAGTCCGCCGCTTGGATGCGCTTGAGCACTTCTGTGGCGCACAGAAAAAAGGGGTTCTTGAGCCGCTGAGGTGAGCGATGGGGAAAGGCGATGGCAAGTGGGGCAAGAAAGGCGACGGGCTTGGCCCGGGCGGCCCTGGAGTGGGCCCCGGCGCAGCTGCCTGGAAGGGGCTTGCGAAATGGGGTGGCAAGGGGGACAAAAGTGAGAAGGGGAATTGGATTTCTCAGCCCGAGGATGGGCCGGAGTTGAAAAGGCCAAGGATGGATGCCATGGGCCCTGAATTCTCCTTGAAAGGCAGGGATGGAGGCAAGGGCCTGGGCAAAGGCTTGGCTCCAGGCCTTGCCAAGGGCCAAATGGTGCCACCGGGCCTCCCCATGGGCGCCATGCCGGGTGGCAAAGGCAGGTTGTCAGAAGCAGCTGTTAAGACGTTCAGTGCCGCAATGAAAGCCCCAATCGCCCCGGCTTATAGCAGGTCTAGCTGGACCTGGTGGGTCCTGGCCTCGGCCGGAAGCTTCTGAGCTGCGACGGGAGCAGTTTCCTGGCCCTGCAAGGATGCCCGTGCTACCACCGGCTCCCTTGCTCTGATCTCAGGGGCCGACTTTGGCCTCGGCCTCACATGCGAGACGAGTCGGCTGCACTTAGGCACGCGGGCTTGCTCCCGCCTGGGCACACAGCACCAGCCATGGCCTTGAATATGGCCAAGGCACGAGGGCAGACGTGTAATGTTGCAGTTTCAATCGCCGAAGGCTTTTGGAACGGAATTTCCGAAGAAGACCCGATCCAGACATGTCCAGAGCACCGCTCTTCCAACTCATCTGCCACTGCAGTCGGCGGCTGCGGGCGCAGGGCCTCCAGGAAAGCTCGTGCGCCTCTGAAGGGCTGGAAAACACTAGCAACAGCGAGGTCGTGTTGGATGTTTCAGCGGTCAGACTGTTCAGTAGGTGCTTGGCCATGGACCCGGTGTCGTGGATTTCAGGTCCTCCTAGCCCCTGCCACGAAGCACATCACGCCACCGGCCAAGAGACTACAGCTTGTTGGCTGTTGCGGCCCCTCAGAAGGTGCGTGGACCAGAATTTATGAGCCGAAGAGGGCGTGGTGGACAATTGGGGTGAAGTGACACAGTGACGCAAGGGGTCCTGTTCGAGTGCCTGCGGAGTGCTCTTCGAATGGTATGCTGTGCCACAAGGCACTACTAATAACTAGTACCGGGCGGGAACATCAAGATCGTCGCCTATGTTGATCTTGTTGTGGCTGCATCGCTTCATAAGGCCGGTCTCCAGTAAAACGGCGTCCACCAACAACAAGAAGATTGCCATGGAGCTGCTTGCATGCGGTAGAACCGGTAGAACAGTAGATATCACAGAGTCCTTGTTTTGATTTTCTGGGTCGCGGTGGTTGCGCTGGCCTTTCAAGCTCAGGTTTGTGCACGCTTCGAAGGACGTCCAAGCGCAAATGCTTAAGGACCCCACCGTGGCCAGAGCCACACTCCCAGGAACCTCGCAAGGCTCTTGCATCGGGTGACCGATGGACGGCCCGCATGTAAATCCAGCACGGCCCGATAGCACCTGCTTGAGGTTGCGTTGAGCTTTGCAAGGGTAGACTCCCTGCTGACGCATTGGGCTGACAAGCTTCCTAGCTTCCTGGCATGGCACTCATGCGGTTGGTGGGAGAAGATTCCCGCTTGTTAGTTCCTCAGGCGTAAGTACGCCTGACCTTTTCCGTGAAGCAAGACCAGAGCCTCGGTGGATCTCGGTAGACTCGGGCCATGGAGCAAGCAATCCATGGAGTGCGCGAGCAGCACAGCCTGCTGGCCAGCATGGTCCGCAGACAGGAGCTCTTTGTGCCCATGCTGGGCATCTGGGTGGCCTCGTTTGGTGGGGCGCTCCATGCACCTGTCACCACCTACTTTCAAGTTGAAGTTGGTGCGTCTACCGTCGCCAGACCTCTTTTCCCATCAGACTGTGTCATGATTGATAGGTGTACGAGACTAGCATCAGAGGTTCAAAATTGATCTTGAATTGTCTACCGAGGCACAAATAGGAAATTTCGGCATCATTCGCACTGCTGGTGTTCTGCTCGTGTCTCCGCTGTACGGCTGGCTGCTGGACAGACGATCGGCCTATCTGCCAGCCGTGCTCTCGGCCTTTTGCTGCACCTTTGGCTGCCTGATGCATGGCTTTGCACCTGATGTTGCTGGTCTCTATTTCGCCAGTGTCATCTTAGCCTTGGGTGCCGTCAACTTCTGGAATGTTGTTGGGGCATATGTCGCATTGGCAACGCCGCGGGAACAGCGACATGTCGTCGTCACGGGCTTCCAAGCGACCTCGATGTCTTGCTAGAATGATGTTGGTAGGGTGGTGCAGCGGTGCAAGTGTACTTCATGTAGTTGAGGTGAAGGCCCAAGGTTAGCACAGAGCATTGTAGAGCCAGGCATTCAGTCTTGAGGTGCAGGTGGCAACCCTGAGACTTATCGGCACCTCGCTCTACCCCGCGGTGGACTCACTCCTCAAAGCTGTTGGAATTGAGCAGAAGCTGCTGCGGTACAGGAGTTTTGGTCTACCAGGGTTAAAAACCTGCAGTCGAGTCGCATCAGATTGCTCAAGTGCTGGGGATCAGTGTAGTATCAGATGAGGATCCACATGAGCGAGTGCAGCATCTTTTGCGTGTTCGCCTTCGTGTATCTTGTCGTTCGGTTTCAGCCCGCAGCATGGGTCGAGGACGGGGTTCAAAGTGCGTGTGCAGAGAGTATGCTTCTCCTGATCAGCAGCGAAAGCCGATGCAAACCAGCTGCCGCGATGAGAGTGACACATTAGGAGCTCGCAACTATCTGCCACTGCAGGATGAGGACAGAACAGGCGAACCCAGGAAAGCAGAGCAGCCTGTGAAGTATTCACAGATCATGCTTCTCCTGGTCACAAGCGTCATCCAGACCTTCGGTGAGACCGTCGACTGCTGTGATATGTGATTGGGAGCATGTTCGTAATAAGTGTAGAACCCTTGGCTCCGGCAGCCGACTTGTTACTTCGCTCGCCCCCGATAGCCTTGCAGGTCATTACCGTGCTCTGGCCGCTTCACATACGCAAGCTGGGGTTGGGTTCTCATGACTACGCTTGGCTCCAACTGCTGTCACAGTTGTTGATCATTCTGAGTACCCTCGGCTACCCCCCGCTGACACGGCTTCTGGGCCATCGAGCAACTGCCAGCTCTTTGCCAATGATTGCCAGCGCCACCTCTGCACTGGCTTTTCTGCAACCAGATGCTTCCCTGTACGGTCAGCTGGTGCACATCTCGAATGTCCTGACTTTTCTGGCCGTCTGCGGAACTATGAAGGTGTGCTACCAGCACCTGACGACACTCGCTGTACCAGCTTCCCAGCAGGGGCGTGTCTTCTCCTTGCTGAATGTCTTGGGGTCTGTTGGGAACATTGCTGGAAACCTTGTCGCAACACGCTTCTCCGAGCACGAGACGTCCTTCACCTCAAAAGGTGCCACTCCCTTTCTGGTTACCTCCTCCCTGTCTCTCGGATGGATTTAGATCATTTAGATTCGTCTTGGCTTCAAGATTGGCTTCAAGATTGAAGATTGACGAGGGAACACAATTGGCCTGTTCGGCGGGGCTCTCGAGTGTCGGCATGAGCTCGCATTAAGCCCACACATCGAAGCAGAGGTTCTGCACCGTTGGTTGCGCCATCGTCGGTGTATTGTGCGCGCCGATCGAGGATGGCATCAGCAAGAAGGCGAGTGTGCATGCCGATGACGGCCATCAACACCAGTGACGGGTAGTTGTGTGGCCGATTTTCGGAGTTTCAGTACACGCGTGCTAAGCATGCAGTGAGAGCAGGCTTTGCGGTTTCTCCTCCGTAAGAGGGTAGCTGTAGGCTCAACGAGACATTGGGGGAATGGATTCTAACTTGAGGATTGATTGATGCATCTCCGTTCGACCTTTCCTTTCGACCCTGCCGGCGCTATCCGGGGCTCTAGCCAAAGACCAAGCAGAGCCTCGCCTCTTGTCGTGCGGCGTGTCAAATCAGGGCCAAAGCAGGGAGACAATTCCGAAGCTGTAAGATTGTGCGATCTACCATCTATCCCTAACTATCGCAGTTTTCCCGATCCGACTTAGTACCTGGTCATCACACCCAGACGGCTGCATGTTGTCTTTTATCTTGTTCTCGGAAGTCGCTCCAGCCACAGTTGATCTTCTCGCAGCAGGAAAGGAAAGGTCGTTGAGCTTGCAGTTGTGTCGTTGCTACATCATATGCGAGTAGGTTATCGCAACTTGTAGCAGAATATATCAAGTATACACAGTTATAAGTTATAGCACATGAAGTACATACACTATGTATATACGTAGCTAGTACAGTATATCATAATATGTTCTAGTAAATAATAGTAGCATTTTTTGCACTTCATGGCATATCATAGTACATCATAGTGTTAAAAGTATAGTATTTCAAGTCCGTCGCAAGCCTCGGCCCAGAACGGGTTAAACACAAAAGTACAGTAGTTACAGTATAGCATATCATTGTGTAGAGCGTATCATAGTTTATTGTGTTATGTTAAAGTATAGCATCTCTTGTATAGTATTATTGCATTATTGCCTGAGGCCATTCTCCAAACTCTTGCCGAGTCGCCGGGCACCGCGCCGGGCATGGCAGTGCTCGGAAGCGGCCAGGGGCTTGTGAACTATACTACATTCATACTTGTTGCTACAATGTACAATACTACACGGCTATATATACCAGAATATATATATATGTATATATACCAATGTACTGTAGTGTACTATAATGTACTATAGTATGCTATGTTATACTAATTGACACGAGAAAGGAATCAAGAGAGACAGAGCCAAGTTTTGAGATCGGACAGAGAAATGCTTCACCTCGGCCGGCATCCTTACTCTTACAGTTCATGCACTGGGGTAGATGGTGTGATGCTCGTGCTGCTTCGCTGGAACCGTATGTGCTGCGCGTAGTTGCCAACTGAAAGCAGACTTAGATGTAGCCGATTGATGACTCACAGAATGTTGCGTGAGAATAGCTGGCCGTATGCTAAGTGCAGAGCGAGGGAAGGTTTTCGCGTTTTCTTGGTCATTCTTGTCTGAGACACGTAGCGCGGGTGTGGAGAATAAATCAGTGATGGCAGTGGTTGGATGTTGGATGGTGCGAGGGCCGTTGCCTCCGCCACCGCCAGCCTCCATGATGCCGCCGGGACAGGCAAGCGGGTGGCAAGCGGCAAAGTGTCTCTGCAGGTTTGCTCACCAACCGCTGTTTGAGTGACAGGGACACGCGCTAATTGCTCGTTAATAACTTGGTGCTGTGCATCGCAGGCCATGATGTCACCACTAGCGCAGGTGGCCGGCTCGGAGCAGGCCGTTGCCGCAACAAAAAGACACGTGTAAGACCGAGGCCTCTACTCCGGCCTGGACTGGCGTAATCACGCTGGCAGGGAGCCTAGGGCCGCTCGGCCTCGGGGGGCGGAGCAAGCGAGACTGGGCACTGAGCGGGTCCTGCTGGATCAGGCCCGGAATATGGCAAAGAAGACTCCCTTCAGGGCTGCCCTGATCCAGGGCAAGGTGGCAGATGTGGAGGCGGGTGGGTAGCACGTGCCAGTCGTCGTGCATTTTTGACTCTTGGACCGTGTGTGCCTCAGCGATGATTGCTTCATTCGTACGCTGCAGTGCCCAATCCACGTTGAATCTGCGTGGCAAGAGTGCTGGCCAGCTGATCACGGATCACAAATCCCGAACAATACATGTTCGAGCGAGGCCAGTGTCCGAGTAGGTAGATTTTGGCTCCAAGCAGAATGGGAAATTGGATCCGCATAGATAGATAGATGTAGCTGCAGCAAGACTAGTGATACTGTTGCCAGTACGTCTGCTGCTGCTGTTGCTGCTGTTGC